TTTTCCTTTTTATATATCTGTTTCCTGGCTCACTATGAAATATTTACACTCCATCTCCCATGGTTCCTCTGGAATATCTGGGTCTGTGCGGAGATGGAGCCACCGGCACGGCTGTGTCGGTGTCCCTGAGCCCTGCAGGGGCGTGGTGGCACCTTCGCTCAGTCCCAGCATGGGGAAAAATGTGGGGAAAACTGGGGAAAACATGGGGAATGTGGCACAGGCGACCAGACCCTGGTCCAGGTGGAAAATTCTTGCACCTTTGCTTCCCACAACACCCAGGTGTGGCGCTGAGCAATGCCACCACATCCCTCAGTGTGCCCCAGTGTCCCCCAGTGCCACCAGACTGGGCTGAGTGGGACTGGCTCATGCAGGACTGTGAATTCAGCAGCAAAAYTTGCCATTCCCTTCATTTTCAATAAATTATAAAACGAACTCCTGGGGTGTTTGATTATAAATAAAATCCCAGTGGGACCTCTGGAGCCAGAGCGACGTCACCGAGGAAAATACGGCCGAGCTAAAAATAACCCTGGCACAGACATTTGTTTACCTTTTTCCAGAAAAGTCTCTTTCATAAATGAAAATAATTGCAGCCATAATGGAATTTTCAGCAGGCCTGTGGCCTGTGGCTCTGGCTTTGGGTGAGTGAATTTGAAATTTTCCTGGATTCCCTGTCTGGAAAAATCCTGGCTGAGGATGGGGCTCGAGCTTCCCTGGTTCCTTGAGTGCTTCAGGAGATCCTGCCTTGGGATATTCATGTTTTAGGGAATTCACTTTCCCGTCCGACAGGCAGTGGGCACTGTCCTGCCCTGCTTCCCACAAAACTTCCCAAAATAAAACYTCCCCCTCCAAAAATAAAACAGGACAAGAATCAAAACTTCCAGAGACATTCGCTGATCCAGGATTTGTTTTTGCTTAAGTTCTCAGGGTGGGTTTTTTTGGAATTGTTTTGACTGCTGGAAGGGATCCTGGCCCCAAATCCTGCTGTCATCAYTCCCAGAAATTACGAGGATTTCTGGGATGGTTTTGTTTCTTTTTCCAGGGTTTACCCATTGTGGGGTGTGGTATTGCTGTGGGATGGGGATTTGGGATGGGGATTTGGGGTTTTGGAATGGGGAATTGAGGATTTGGGGCTTTGGGATGGGAATTTGGAGACGTGGGAAGCAGGGGCCTTACGGTGCAGGGCAACCCAGGGAACAAACTGCTCCCRAAGCCAACTGATTTCTCCCTCTTTCCCTATTTTCCTACCCCATCAGGTCAGACAAAACCCTCCAGGATATTGTGTACAAGCTGGTCCCGGGGCTTTTCAAAGGTACAGCCAACGGATGARGCAGCTCTGGGAATTTGGGGTATTTTTAATGTGTTCCCACCCCGCTGTGAAATCCTTTCCTTGGATTTCCCTCTGCCCACAGGGACAGCAATGGGACAGGAGGACATGGGGACACGGTGCCCATCCCGTGTTTTGGGGAAAGTGGGAACTGTGGATTTGCTCCCTGAGTGTCTGCCCGTCCTTGGAATGGGGGAAAAGTGTGGGATTTGGGGTGCGGGAAGAGCCGAGCCACCAAAAAACTTCATGAGGGCAGTGGGCTGGCTGCCACTCGAGGATTCATGAATTCCTCCTGCTGGAATTGCAGCGGGAGCAGGGTCTGGGCATTCCAGGGGCTCTTCGAAATCCTCCCTTTGCCCTGATCCCCCAGTGGTGGGGCTGTCCCTCCTCACCTTCCTGTCCCTGTTTGTCCTGCAGATGAGATGAAGAGGAGGCG